AGACAGGGCGTGCGGACAGAGGCGGCGGGCGTGTGCGGGTCGTGTTACCTGGGCGCACAAGGAATCCTGGGCGAACAGGGACAGCGTGCGCGTGTCGAGCGGTTGCGGGACGTGCAGGGCGATCACGAGCAGGGACGGCGACACAGGGGCTTTCGGCTGGAACCTGACACGAGGTCTGGTTGTGCGCGGTTGCGGGCGGGGCTCGCGATAGAGCGTGGCTGGGCTCAGGCGAGGTCTTGGCGGCGATCGGCGGCGACATCGGTTTTCTGGCGGTGGTCGACGACGGCTGATGGCGGTAGTCGGCTGGGGAAGATGACCGGAAAATATGGAGCTTTGAGGTTTAAAGAAAAACACCTTAAAGCCTTCTAATGGATTACCTAAACACCTACTTCAATTAATCTTGGTGGTGCGATTAATTGAATCTCCCTAACTCTCGATCAAGACAATTTTTCCCTCTCTTGAAGATGAAAAATTGGCCCTCAATGTTGTGTCTCAAGAGGTTGGGACATGGTGTATTTATAGGCTCCATTAGGGACCTTAAGGAGGTGCCAAATATGGGCTTATCCCATTAGGCCAAGGAATCCTAATTTCACTCCATAAACTAATCCATATTAGGTCATGATTCCTTTCTCCTAACATCACCTTCTAGAAGACTCTCTAGTCTCCTAAGCCTAGGTAATGTTCTAGAAGGAATATTCCCTATCTCATGGAATAATAAATATAGAATAAAATTAATTTTTAAAATCCTAATAAAATAAAAAAATAATATATCCCACTAGAATATTATTATTACTATCCCTATTTGGCTCTAATTTAATCAATTAAATTAAACCTCCACTTGATTAATAAATATTAATCTAATTGACCGATTTACCTCCCCATGTTTAAGATATAACGTTCGTGGATTAATTAAATTATTGACAAGATAATTAATCGACTTGTTATTCATTTCCGAAATTAGTACCACTCAGAACTTTAATCATTGTGTCAGATAAATATCCACCTGCAGGGTTTAACACAATATTCCTTCCTGAGCTCATTTCGGGGTCGTCATCAAGCCAGCAAACTGAAACACGGTACCATAAATAATTTATAATAGCTCGTCATATAAACATTCTCATTTACCAAAGTACCGAGTATGTCATCCTAATAATAGGAATCACCCTTGGTAAATCAAATAAATAAGTAATGAATATACACGACTATTTTATATTATCTTACAGCTTTCGAGAACGTGTCAATCACTGGAGGTATAGATTACAACAACGATCAGTGAGTCTCATAGTCTTATCCTTCCGGTGGTCCTGTTCAATACTTAACATAAGTACTAGTGTAATTCTCCAGTTAAGGTCAACTGAATCAAGAATACACTACAGTCTTTTTCCAAATGGGGTCTCGCTTCCAGTCTAAACTGTGAACAAATGATTTAGTCTTACAAGGAACTGATAGATGACCTTTCTGTTCGAGACACCGCGAACCACACTATCTTAATGTAAGACAAGGAGTATGATTGTATAAATAAACAAACTGCAAGCATATGTGCTTTGACTAAGACGCAATTACCAGATCAAAATGGTATTATTAATATCTGAAAGCCAAGCTTTTACAGCATATCTAACAATCTCCCACTTATGCTGAATAAGCTCATGGCTATCACTAACCACAATTCTCTTTTATCTAATTCTCAAAGACTAGTCTAATATGTTGCTCTAACATCTGACTCCCATTCCTTCTACGTGTCTTGAAAAGACTTTCACCGGTAGGCTCTTCGAAAAAGGATCTGCTAGGTTGTTCTCTGATTGTATCTTGGCAACAACGACTTCTCCTCGTCCAACGATTTCTCGTATCAGGTGGTACTTGCGCTCTATGTGTTTACTCGCTTTATGAGTTCGTGGCTCCTTCGAATTTGCTACTGCTTCGCTGTTATCACAGAACACTGTAATTGCAGCGGGGAAACTTGGCACCACGTCAAGGTAGAGGAGAAAATTCCTGAGCCAAACAGCTTCTTTCGCTGCCTCTGAGGCTGCTACATACTCAGCTTCCATGGTTGAGTCTGCCACGCATTTCTGCTTGACACTCCTTCATACAATGGATCCTCCTCCTAAAGTAAGCACAAACCCTGAGGTTGACTTGCTTTCGCCCCGGTCTTCCTGGAAGTCAGAATCGGTGTATCCCAATGGAAGCAATTCATCTGTTTGGTAAATCAACATGTACTCCTTAGTCCTTCTCAGGTACTTGAGTATATGTTTTACTGCAGACCAATGTTCCGGCCCTGGGTTACTCTGATATCTTGCTACCATGTCTACTGCATAACATATATCAGGTCGCGTACACAACATCACATACATGAGGCTTCCTACTGGTGATGCATAAGGAACTGCCTTCATGTCCTCTATCTCTTGCGGAGTCTTCGGGGACATCTTCTTAGATAGAGCGATTCCATGTCGGAAAGGTAAATCCCCTTTCTTTGAATCATGCATGTTGAAACGCTTCAAGACAGTGTCTATGTATGTAGATTGGGATAGGCACAATTCGAATGACCTTGATACCGAGAACATGTCCTACTTCTCCCAAATCTTTCATATCAAACTGCTTGGATAACCATACCTTTACGTTTGATAACATTTTCACACTGTTTCCAATGAGAAGAATGTTATCTACGTATAACACTAGAAACACCACCACGTTTCCTTCACTTTTCTTGTACACACAGTGCTCATCCGGACATTGGGTAAATCCATACGATTGGACAACCACGTCAAAACAGATGTTCCAAGACCTCGAAGCCTGCTTTAGTCCATAAATAGACCTTTTCAGCTTACAGACCAGATACTCTTGTCCATTTACAATGAATCCTTCTGGTTGCTGCATATAGATGTCCTCGTCTAAATTCCCATTAAGGAAAGCAGTCTTAACATCCATTTTCCAAATCTCATAATCCATATGAGCGGCAACAGCCATAAGAATCCTGATGGATTTCAGCATAGGTACCAGCGAAAAAGTTTCCTCATAATCGATCCCTTCTTTCTGGGTATACCCTTTCGCAACAAGCCTAGCTTTGAAGGTTTCAACCTTTCCATCTGCTCCTCTCTTTCTTTTATAGACCCACTTGCATCCAATGGCATGTACGCCACTGGGTTGTTCTACAAGATCCCAGACCTGATTGGAATCCATAGAGTTCATCTTAGACTTCATCGCCTTTTGCCAAGACTCTGCGTTCCGATCTTGAAGTGCCTCATTCTATGTCCGTGGGTCGATTTCAAGAACATCCGGGACAGCCTCAGAAGACTCTTCCAGACCCATGAATCGTTCGGCCTACCAGCAACCCTCCCACTATGACGAGATACTACCTGCTCAGGTGCATTATCAGCGATACGTGTTGCAGTACTTTGTGGTGTAACATCTAGCGCACTCGGTATTGAAGTACTCACTCCCTTTACCTCCTCTAGGACATGTCTACTACTGGGCTTGTGATATAACACATAGTCTTCTTCCAAGAACCTTGCATTCGTGCTAACGATTACTTTTTGGTCCCCGGGACTATAAAATAGACCACCTTTCGTTTCCTTAAGATATCCCACAAACAGCCTTACTTCTATTCTAGGTTCCAACTTATCAGTATCTGTTCTTAGCACATGTGCTGTACCCCAAATCCTGAGATGTCTTAGACTAGGCTTGCGCCCAGGCCACAACTCCAATGGTGCAGATGGTATTGATTTAGAAGGTACTCTGTTCAGAATGTAAACTGCTGTTCCTAGGGCATATCCCCAAAACGAATCGGGTAATGTACTATAACTCATCATTGCCCTAACCATTTCCATAAGAGTCCTATTTCTTCACTTTGCCACGCCATTCTGCTGGGGTGTGCCTGGCGCAGTAAGTTGGGAAGTAATCCCATTATCCATCAAATTGTATCTAAATTCATTTGAGAGATATTCGCCACTACGATCAGATCGTAATGACTTGATACTTTTTCTTAACTGCTTCTCCACAACTGCCTTATACTCTAAGAATTTATCAAATTCAGACTTGCGGTGCAATAAAAAAATGTACCCATATCTCGAGTAGTCATCGATAAACATAACGAAGTACTCGAAACCTCCTCTTGCTTGAATAGACATATGACCACATAGATCGGAATGAATTAGCCCTAACAGATCTTCGGCTCTATTCCCCTTTGATTGAAAAACCCTCTTAGTCATTTTGCCTTCCAGGCAAGGTTCACAAGTTGAAAAAGCCTCGACTTCTAACGACCCCAAGGGCCCGTCTGCTACCAACCTTTGAATCCTCCTAAGATTTATATGACCAAGTCTTAGATGCCAAAGATATGTTTCATTCATTTTCGAAGGTTCCTTTCTCTTATTCAGATTAGAAGATGAATTAAGTAATTGTTTATGTTGCAGTGGAGATAAATTAAGTAAGGTTCCTTTCTCTTATTCATGATTCCTTTCTCCTAACATCACCTTCTAGAAGACTCTCTAGTCTCCTAACCCTAGGTAATATTCTAGAAGAAATATTCCCTATCTCATGGAATAATAAATATGGAATAAAATTAATTCTTAAAATCCTAATAAAATTAAATAATAATATATCCCACTAGAATATTATTATTGCTCTCCCCATTTGGCTCCAATTTAATCAATTAAATTAAACCTCCACTTGATTAATAAATATTAATCTAATTGACCAATTTACCTCCCTATGTTTAAGATATAACGTCCGTGGATTAATTAAATTACTGACAAGATAATTAATCGACTTCTTATTCATTTTTGAAATTAGTACAACTCAGAACTTTAATCATTGTGTCGGATAAATATCCACCTGCAGGGTTTAACACAATATTCCTTCCTGAGCTCATTTCGGGGACGTCATCAATCCAGCACACTGGAACACGGTACCATAAATAATTTATAATAGCTCGTCATTTAAACATTCTCATTTACCAAAGTACCTAGTATGTCATCCTAATAATAGGAATCACCCTTGGTAAATCAAATTAATAAGTATTGAATATACACGACTATTTTATATTATCTTACAGCTTTAGAGAACGCGTTAATCACTGAAGGTATAGATTACAACAACGATCAGTGAGTCTCATAATCTTATCCTTCCTGTGGTCCTGTTCAATACTTAACATTAGTACTAGTGTAATTCTCCAGTTAAGGTCACATGAATCAAGAATACACTACAGTCTTTTTCCAAGTGGGGTCTCACTGCCAGTCTAGACTGTGAATAAATGATTTAGTCTTACAAGGAACTGATAGGTGATCTTTCTGTTCGAGACACCACGAACCACACTATCTCAATGTAAGACATGGAATATGATTGCATAAATAAATAAGCTGCAAGCATATGTACTTTGACTAAAACCCAATTACCAGATGAAAATGGTATTATTAATATCTGAAAGCCAAGCTTTTACAGCATATCTAACACCAACTTCCCCCAAATGCTATCCGCTTCATCACAACCTTCGTTATCCTTTGTCATATCCATCTCGGTCGATTCGACCTGGCCTTCTTCCACTATTGTTATGTGCCCTCGAAACAAGACCAAGGCCTCTATCTAAAGAGCCGTAATGGCGCCCACTTTATTTTCGACACTCCTTCTAACTGCCCCAAATGGAAACATATATTTGCTTATCTCGAGCCTGAGATCGATTTTCCCTGGGCGCTTACCCCTTTGCTCAAAGAGCTTAAATTTGAGCTCGAGAACCCTCCTCAAAACTTTATTTTCGACCAACGTATTGCCATGTGGAACTCCAAACCAGTCGCCTAAAAAACTCTCCTCGAAGATGACAACCGCCTACATTTCTGCAACCTTCTCACCAACAAGTCCTTGTCTCCTCCTACCAAAGAAGTCCTCGACTCCATTCGAGTTGAGGGCGATCTAGGTAACCTTTAATCAATGTGCTCGAGCATTATCGTGTTTATCTTTGAGTGTACATTGTTTGTTACAATATTAACCTTTAATCAATGTGCTCGAGCATTATCGTGTTTATCTTTGAGTGTACATTGTTTGTTACAATATTAACTCGTCTTTTGTGATCCTTTTGCAGAGATGCCTACCATCCCAGTCATGAAGAGGAAAGTCCCTCTGAAGAAGAAGTCAACTCAGGCCTCTGGTTCTCGGCCATTTGACTCGACCACCTATCAGTCCAATTGTACAGCCACACTACCACCCGATCAGACGACCTCCTCCATGGAGGTCGAACCTCGCACCGCGCTTACTCAAGAGTCGGTTATCGAGGAACAATCCTTACCTTCTCAGACCGACATTCCTGTTGAAGAGCACCTCGAGCACCCCGTGGGCTCACAACCGACCTCTCCCCCCGCAAGCTCGACCACTCCGGTTATCCACATACCTGCCTCTCCTAACCCCAAGTTGGTCGAGCAGACACAACTCAAGCGTCCTCTGGTCGAGGGGGGTGAGGGGGTTAATGAACGTCCTCGCCGCGAGGAGGCTGCCACTATTTCCATCCGCGCACCTTCATCTCTGGTCAAGGTTGGATAAGAAGAACTTGTGTCTTATCTTCGAGACATCATCCTTGCTGCCAACCGCGACGATGATAGCACAGATTTGCAGACCCGTGGATATTTCGTTGCGCGATGGTTAGCACATGTAATTTCCAAACTTCCTTTTGTATTTTCTCTGCTTTGTTATTTCTTTTCGTTCCCACTTATTAAGTTCCTTCTTTTACAATGAGTGCAGGGGCTGGTCGAGCTTTTTCCCTTGGTCGACCAAACCGTGACCAGTGCAGGCCACTCGATCCCTAAGATCGAGAAGGGCATCTGCGTTTTGCAGTAAAAGTGCAACGATTTCACCATCCGCTGCCATGAGCTTCGTGAGCAGCGGAAAGACGAGGCGCTTAAGGCCAAGGCCCTCGAGGGAGAGAAGCGGACCCTCGAGGAGGAGAATAAAGCTCTGGCAGTCGCGCTCGAGGCTGAAAAAACTACTTGAGCACAAGAGAAGGCAAGGTTTGAGCAAGAAACGAAACGTCTAATTGACCTCGCTGCTCTTCGTGCTCGCCAGATGGTGTGGTACACCCGGGTTGGGCAACTCTTCCTTCAGGAGCATCGCGAGAAGGTGGTGGCCGATTTTATGCGGTCACCACTATTTTTGAAGGAGGTGCAAATTTCGACGCCGATTGTTTCCAGTTCGCCCTGCAAAAAGTGGGCGAGCAAATAATCGAGGACGAGTTCAAGCAGCTCGATGTGGAGGCTTTCTGGAATGCCGTGCCCAAGGTGCCGAAAAGCTTTCAAGGCAATCCTGACTTGCCACTCGATCACGAGTGGCGGTCAGGTGTCCACGAGCGTACCTTAAATCACGTCGCCACTCTGAAGAAACATTTCATGCTGCCTAACGGTGTAACTCCTCCAACTATTATGAAGGATGCCATGTCTGTAACGCCCCACTTTGATTTTAAAGAAATTCCGGACTTTAAAAAAAATCAGAATAAATTTTTTAAAATTTATTTCAATATTTGTGGCGTTACTCATATATTTCAAATTTCTTCAACGACATAACCTCAATTTCATAACATAAATCATCTAACTCCCAAAATGGGATTTATAAATCCATAAATCATCAATTTGCCAAAATCGGGTTCCCCAAACAAAACTCAAGCTGCAAGACAAAACAATGTGAACGGGGCATCTCCCCAATAGTATCTCAATACTTCATAAATTCTCAGAGTTCGAAAATCCATAAATCATAAATAATCATAAGTATAGCGGAAGCAAAAATCAATTAATAATCAGTCTCATAGGCCGACTACCACTCGCTCTACTCCGCCGTCGTACCCGCCTTGCTTAACCTGAAACGTCAATTTCAGGTGGGGATGAGCACAGTTGGAAATCGTAGTGCTCACCACTATGCAATAAACATTTTCATAATATAAACAGTAAAAGAAATAGTATGATCACAACATGTATAAGAATCAATTAAGTATCCCAAGTTTTCAACATAAATTTACAGTGTTCAGACTCACGTGCACATCTATACCAATAGACTACTACCGGTAGATGTATCGAAGGCCCTCACTCGGGTCATGCTTCGAATGCCCCATGGGCTCTTCATCAATGCCCTACGGTCTTATACACCGAATGCCCCTCGGGCTCCTATCGATGCCCAGTCAGTAGGAGTAACCCCTCGGGTTTATTTTCATAAATACGGCGACGATCGTTCGACGGCCGCTACAGATCACATCGAAGGCTACATGATTCGTAAGCACACATTGATCATAGACAAGTAAGGCACAATTTATTGCATAGACAATTTTAATAAAAATCACCTGGTCGAAGCGACAATTCACAATCACGATTCTCGAAAGCAGGGTGAGGTCAACACCCCAAAATATCTACATTAAGTCAAGATGTTAAAATCAACACCTTATCTTGACTTAAAAAGGAAATCACATTTATACTTAGTCGAACTTGATTCGACTAAGTTGTTTGTGAAGTTCTGTGGACATTGGAACACTTGGACTCGGCTCTAAGACTCAACCAACCACGCATGGGAGTTCACACAATCTCAATCAAAGATCTTCCAAGTCAAACAGACAAAGATTAGCATGCGAGTCGGTTTATAGTTTTTAACTCAGAAGCTATATTTTTGAAATAAAGCAGGTGATTCACATAATCAAGTTGGTTAGGCTACCGAATAAGGTAGACTCTAAAATTTTAACCAAAAATCCACCTTACTGGACTTAGCAAAACCACCAAATTTCAGCCCTTAACTCAAAACACATGATTTTATAAAATTCAGATAAGTTTACACCAAAAACGAACATAAATTAACAACCAGACCTATTGTACTAATTATCCTATGAAATTTTTATCCAAGGAACCCCAGCATGCGAATAACAACATGTAAAAATCTCAGCTATAAACACTTAAAATACGAATTAATAAAATTGTAACAATATTCAACAGATTTTATTGTTTCAGTAAAACCAAAAAACAAATGACCTCCAAAAATTCCGATATTTTTACATCATGAAAAAAATCACAAAATAAGCATTTCAACCTAAAATTCGAATTTTACAGCATCAGATAAATTTATCATAACTAAAACAATTTTAGGCAGAATCACAAAATAAATTATTTCCATTAGCAAACTGAGTCCAAAAATTCTGAAACTTTTATACAACCTCTAAAACAGATAGAGAGACAACATACTCAAATTTCATCAATTTTTAAGCACAACTCAATTTGATATGAAATTAACACGATTCTGCCCAGAAATCACATTAATTAATTACAATAGGTACAGGCCTCATAAAATTATGAATTTTTTACATGAGTTGTATATTCATCTGAGGACATAACATTTCAAATTTCATGGCAATCCGAGTGATATACAATTTATAATGAATTTAATATCAAAACAGCAGTTTATACGAGTTCAACAAATTATCTACGACTCGATAAGACTCGAAATTGTCCGAGGCCTTCACCATAAGACCAAAAACTCATTGTTCCAATTCCCATAGCGACTTAACACGTGTATAACATGATCTCGTTCGAGTTCGCACGAACCGAAGAAACCAATACATCATTTAATTAACATAAAATTAACATATGTACAAATCACATATATAACGAATCACATTAACGCATAAAACGAATTTAAACGAGAGAGGGATCAAGCCTCGATACCGTTCTCGGAAATACGTTCAAAAAACGGATCGGACGAGAGTTGACGGGCTCGGAAGCTAAAATAACGAACCTCGGGCGGCTCACGCTCGGCCTCGGTTCATTCTCGAACAGATGAATGGGTCGGGTTTCCTCGCGGCTAAGCGTGGCAGCGGTTAGGGGTTGCCGACAATTGGAACTTGTTGGTGGCCGCGAGCGGGGAACGAGGCGGCGACGGCTCGCAGTGGCGGCTCGGCAATGGCGGGTGGCTGCTCGTAGAAGGCGCTGGCGATTGTTCACGAAACAGAGGCACGCGACGGCGGCTGGTCTCGTCTCGATAGTGACTGGGCAAGAGGTCTCCGGGAAACTTCTCGCGGAGGAGTCGCGTGGAGGATCCGGGGATCGCCGGTGGCTATCCGCGTGCGGCAGCGATGGCGGAGGGATCGCGACGGCGGAGAGGTCGCCTGGCGCTGCTGCTGGTCATGGCGGAGGGCCTACACACGAAGCAGACTGCAATTACGTGATGATGCTGTCGGAGGTTGCTGGGCGTGAGCATGAACTTGCCGGAGGAACTCGCGAGGGAGCAACGTCGCAGGAGAAGGGCCGTCGGAGTTCGTCGGGGTTGCTGCTGGTTCACGGTGGTTCACGGCGAGAGGAGGCAGCGATTCATGGTTTTCTTGTAGGATGAAGGTGATGGTGATCGGAGACAAGACGATGATAAGGGGTGATGTTGGTGATTGGAATGAAGTGAGGGCAACGGAAATAAGGAAGATGATGACGGGATGATGAGATTTTTCTCTTCTCAGCGATCGCGATCGAGATGGGAGAGGGAAGAAAACAGATCGATGGCTGCGGTGTGTTTCTCTGCTTACGAGCGAGCGAGAGAAAAAAAAAATAGAAGACTGGGGTATTAGTCTTGGCCCACATGACACACATTTACACACACAAGGGCGATTCGGGTTAAAGGGAAACCGGGTCGGGCTCATGGGGTTGGGGCGCCGGGTTTGAGTGCAAAGACTCGGGCTCGGTTCTCGGGCTTAACTAGCCATCTTAATTCGGTCCAGCTCGACGATTAAGATTAAAATGAAACGAATATAATTTATATATATAAGTCACACAATTTATTAAATAATAATAACATTTAGACATTAGGCATTTAATACACACAATATTTAATAATAATATTAATAATAGGCATTTAAACATTTAATTCACAATAAGACATTCATTAAATAACAATGATAATAATTATATTAATAATAGTAATAACAATAAATAATATCAATAATAATAATAATAAATAATACTAAATAATCCATAAATAAATGGGGCGCTACAGTCTACCCACCTTACAAAGAATTCCGTCCTCGGAATTCGAAAAACAAACCACGACCAGATACTAACGAGAAATAAGAGGTGACAACATCAATACATGAAATTTCGGTACCTCCTCCGAATTTCAGTTTTCCTCTCCCAAGTCGTCTTGCCTTGACAACCACCATTGGACTTTGACGAGTACCCCTCCCGGTCCTTTTCTAAAAGTCATCGGTACCTCCAAATAGGTAGGGTTTTGCCTATCACGCAGCTCATCACATCTCACATGTCCTCCGAGATCACACACACGTTTCCTCCATCAACAAGCACAGAACGTGTCATGCATCCTCGCGAGTTCCGGTGGTGGAGTCAACCATCAGGCTAAATCATCGACTTGGTCGGGAATCAAAATAGGACTGAGTACGCGTGGCAGTCCAGAACAACGGCATACTCCACCTCAATGACATGCACAACATTGAACTTATTGAAATAAATCCTAACGCAGCGGAATCTATAGTTAGGATTAGGACATTACCTTTTAAAATTTTTGCCGACTCAGAGACATTTCAGATTTCCTTTGATAGAGATCGTCTGATTACCACAACTCAATCGGTTGAAGAGTTTGACCTTTGTCGACTATAGTCGAGTGTTGAATCACGAACAGATCACCAGAATAAGTTGATCGGGTTTGGATTGGTTCGGGTCAAGTCTCAGTCGGGTTAGGTCGTAGCAGTTCGATCGGGGTCACGGGTCGCGGACTGCAGCTGGTCGGAACCGGTTGGCGCGGGTCGCGGGTTGCTGGCAAGTGCGTGTCGTGGAGTTACACGCAGGACTGGAACGTTGGCGCTGGGCGTCGCG